GATTTATGATAATTAAGACTGAGCTAACAGATGAGAAATCCTAGTCTTTGGCCAAGCAGCATTTGTACCTAATAGAAGTCTCTGTGTATTATTTGGGGCCCTAACTCAGTGGGCAGAACTCGGGTGGCTGTTGGAAAGTGCCCACGTGGTAGAGGGGCTTGGGTGGCTTTTGGAGGAAAGATTTATCATAACAAGTTATGGAGTTAAACACACACACACACACACACACACACACACACACACACACACACACACACGAAACATAATGAAGGAGCCCACAGGGCCATGGAGAAGTAGAAGCAAGGAGAAGCTCAAAGTAAAGTTCTGGGGCATACATAGGGCTGAGGGGATTAAGGAGCAGGGTCTGAAGAGGGTGTCAGAGGTGAGGAGGAGCAGTCAAGAAGCAGAACAATAGAGCTATTGACAGAACCACTTTGTCTGGATGTTTCTGTTGTCAATTTGATGTATTGGTGTCTTCACGTTGGCCCTACAAATAACAGCCCCATTATTCAGTTTGAAACCCCAACAACCATGATAGAAAGAAGTTGGGATTTCTATGATTTGTAACTTTTTTTTTTAACTGAGAAGCTCTTCAATTTGAAAAAGGGACTTTCCAGTGGAAATAATAGAATGTAAATTGTTTACTTGGCAAAATACCATTGGACTAAGCTAAGGCTCTTCATATATAAGAATATGATAAGCGTTTACCTTCCCAGTGCTTTAGAATGGGGTAACAGGGAAAGTTTTCCTCATTTGCAAAAAGGAAATAAGCCTGACAAATGCTGTACTTAAGAAAAATATAGCCGTGAAATAGGAGCTTCAGAAATCTTGGCCAACTAATGAACAGACTGAGCAAGAGCTAAACACTGGACTCATTAAGACTAGCTTAAGTTGTTAGCCAGTGATGAAGCCTGCAAGTTTGCACAAATAGGACAAAGACTTCATGGCTGCTTTGCTTAGATTTGCTGCCTCATTGTCCTTCCAGGGAATATTTATGGCTAGAAAAAGTACAGAGAAACAGGTGCATACGTCCTTGGAGAAGTGGTGATAAATATAAACAAGAGTCAATATGAGTCTGCTTTTGCTGAATTCTCCCTAGGGGTACATATACTGAATCTTAATTTCTCCAATCCAGGTTGTACCAGCTTGGCATGATGGGGTAAAGGAATAGGTAGATAGATATCTATCCTCTTGGCACATCCATGCTCTTAGGACAATGAGAACTACAAGAGGGACAGAGACAAGCAACTTATTTGAATATTATATATTTTGACATTTACAACAGTTAACACCTACATAGTTAAATCAGTTGCTTCTAGACTGATGTGGTGAACAGTGCATTTGGAAGATGTTGCTTGATTACACCTGAAAAACAATGCCTTTGAATTTGTGTATTAAGTCCCTATTCTAACACAAAGCCAGGCAATGTATCAAGCTATTTTCCCAGCATTTGTCCCATGGGAAGTCAGGATCCTGAGATGCTTCAAAAACAAAGGCCCTGTGGTCAAATTTGAATAATGTTACATATCACACCTTCTTGGGAATTCATAGTATACATTTTATACAGTGAAGCCTCCAAGAAATTCTGCAGCAAGGCATTCATATTAAAACTATACAGCCCTGTACTTCTCAAACACACTTGACTATAGAGTCTCCTCTACTTACAGTGTTCAGCTTCATAGATGCTGTGTTAAATGGTACACACGAGATACTCAGGACTTAGTGCCAGAATTTGATGACTTGGAAAGGCAAACAGAGACTAAAATTAATTCGCACCTGGACAAAGTGTTTATTTACCAATATACTGAACAGGTGCCAGGCCCTGGTGGCCACACTTCTACACAGAGTCCTAATAAATAAAACATAACTATGGCTCCAGGTGCGTGCTATGTGGAATACTACAGACGTCTACTGAGAGAGCTTACATAGCCTGATGTATAGAGGTTTTCACAAGTATTTTCTCGAAATCTTTCCATCTGCTAAAACTCTACATTCATGCAGCTACTGAAATATCTCTCTGCTCTGGTTCATGTATGTCTCAGTCACCACCTTGTTCTTCCAGACCTCCCATGTCCATTTTCTTCATCTCATGCCTCTTGACTCATCTTCCAGCTGGTAGTGATCACACTTGTTAGCCTCAAGGTTCCGTGTGTCGAAGCTGTAAACACAGATAATCCACTCTCCCTATACTCTTGCTTTCCAAAGTGGGATGCAAGTGACAGTGACACCTTTCTTCACTTCTCTCAAAGTCTTTCTCATGAAGTCAATGTATTTTTAGCAATGAGCTCCCCATATCTTTAAAAGGTAGAACTCCTAATTATATTGAATGTTCTTGAAGACATTTTTGTTTCTCCAAGTATCACTAATAAGACTCCTTGTAGTCAGACTTATGTCTGATAACCAGCTAATTCTCAAAATAAATTTATGAAGTCCTGACAGATCCAGATCTTTAAAATAGTATCTACTCTTCATTTTAACTTATAAAATATTTCTCTTTCAGCGCAGAGAATGTAACTCCATTGGTAGAGTATTTGCCTAGTATATTAGTTACATCTCTGTTTCTGGGATAAAATGCCATGACCAGGGCAACTTTTAGAAGGAAGGTTTTCATTGGGAAATGAGGGAGGAATATGATTAATGAAGGATGACTTGGATCAATATGCACTATATGCTTGAATGTAAATATCACATTGAGTCCCATTAATATCTATTAATTGTTATTAAAAGCTAGTTATTAAAATAAAGAGTGAATGGGGGAAAGGACAAAAGCCTCATGTTCTTCCTTTAGAGTAGGATCTAAAACAACTGAACTCCCAGGAGCAGAGAGAATAATGAGCAAAGGAAAAGGTAATGGGCAAAACTACAGAGTCTCAAACATAGGATATGGTAAACATCATCAATAATACACTTCAAAGTGCCCAGAGGGTGAATGTCAACATTTTATCACAAAACATGGCAAGGTTTGAGGTGATGTATCGATAAGTCAATAAGCTTAACAATGTATTCACAAATCAGTTACTTTGTATCCATAGACACATATAACTACAAGATGTCAATTTATAGTACCATCTTAAAATGAGAAAGAAAAATTTTTGTCTGACTTAGCCTAGATATGAATTAAAGCTTAGCGGGGAAACCCCTTTCTTCAACTTCACCCTACTCAATCAATGCATACATTCTAAAATTGTCTTGAGAAACACTTTAAGGAGATTTTTCAAAGGTTTCTTCCACTGCATCATTATTTCTTGGATTTCCAAAAAGATTTATTTATCTCTAATTTTCATGTGAATGGCTGTTTTGCTTGCATGTATGTCTGTGCACTGCTTGCATGCCTGGAGGCAATGGAAACAGAAGAAGGAACTGAAGTTCAGATGGTTGTGAACCACCATGTGGATGTGGGGATTGAACCTGGGTCTTCTGGAAAAGCAGTCAGTGCGCTTAACCACTGAGCCATCTATTCACTCCCTGCATCATCATGATGTGGGAGTTCTGCCTTTAGCTCTGATCTTCCTCATCCTTTTATTCTTTCTAAAATTGACATGACAATCATTCATATCCTTACACATTTAAATAACTTTTATATTGCAAGGTGTATTTGTGGTATCAGCACTGTGATGTCACAAGTTGATATTGAGATGGAATAACGGAACATTTTGATCTTGCTCAATCAAGCCTTGTGATGAGCCCAAAATAGCATTGTGGTGTTGCCGTGGAGCGCTTTGATGACTCAACGCCACACTGTGGTTTTCCAATGGTCCATTGTGATGTTGCAGTGATGTCTCAATACAGCATTATGATTGCACAGTAGCATTGTTACGTAGAAACAGACCGTTGTAATGTCACAATGAGGTATTCTGATGGAACAATGGAACATTCTGACATCAAAGGCTATACTGTGATTTCAGAAATGGATCATTTCGATTTCATAACTGAAAGTGAACAATGAAGTACTGTGATATCAAAATTCAGCATTCTGAGGATACAATTCAGCATTGGGATAGACCAATCTAGCATTCTGATGCTTCGTAATAAAGCACTGTGACTGTCTACTATGGAGCTTTGTAATGTCAGCATTACAATAAATCACCATGATGCCACAATTCCCGTTGTGATGACCAAATCATACATTGTGATATCAAAATTCAGCTCTGTGATATTACAGTGGAGCATTGTACTGTTATAATGCATCAATGTGGTGTTAAAATGCAGGACTGTGATCGCACAATGCAGTATTGTGATCATACAAAGGATTGTTGTCATGGCACAATGGAACATAGATATGTCACAATTCAGTATTGTGATGTCAAGATAGAGCACTGTCATGCCACAATTAAGAATTGTGATATCATACATAGCATGGTGTTACGATGTTACATACAGCACTGTGATGTCACAATAGAGAATTGTAATATCTTAACTTAGCATTGTGATGTGACAACGGAACATTGTGATGTCATAATATAGCATTGTGATGGCTCAATAGGGAGGGTGTCATAATGACTCAGTTTGGAACTGTGATGTCATGATGAGCATTGTAATATCACAGCAGAGCACTGTGATGTCAAAATGTCACACTGTAGCACAAAAAACAAAAGACTCAGAGACTGACACTGGGATTCAAGCTTCAAGCTGAAGATCAGAAAAGCAAAGCGGCTAGGCACTAGCTCTTACCTCTAGCTCAGTCTGAAAGGTGATCCTGGCTCCACTAAACCTCAGACTGAAATCCCAGACTTCACTGCTTCTCAGATTCACTCAGACTGCTATGGTCTCCTCGATGTGTCTAGAGACTTCACTGTCTTTCTATCCTCAATGTGGCTGGAGAATGAATGCCAGCTCTGTGACCCTGTTCCTGTCTTATATACCTCTCATGAGTCCTGGGATTAAAAGCCTGGGATCTCAAGTGCTGAGATCATCTTTGTGCAAGCTATTTCTCTTTAGGACTGGATATATTTTGTGTAGCTCAGTATGGCCTTGAACTAACAGAGATTCGTCTTCCTCTACCTCCTAAGTGGTGGGATTAAAGTTGTGTACTACCACCACCTAATCTGTATAGCTTGAGGCTGGCTTTGCTTTTTGAATCCTCAGGCAAGCTTTAATAAATCATAAATAATATACCACCACATAACACTGTTGTCAAAATGGAGCATTTGTGATGTCACAATTCAGCCATGTGATAAAACAATGGAACACTGTGGTAACACAATGGATCATTTTGATGTGATAATGCAGCCCTGTGATGGCATAATGGAGCTTTGGAATGTCATAATGCTGTGTTACAAAATAGATAGGTGAAGTGTTGGGGGTATGAGAGGAGATAAAGGGGAGGGAATTGAGTGGATTTAGTCAAGACACATTGTAAATGTATATGGAATTCTCAAATGAAAAAGAAAAGACATAGATAGGCTCTTCACATAAGGCCTTTTAGTTGGAAAACTTCTAAGAATTTCTTGAATATGCTAAGGGAAGACAGAAGTAATGCCAAATCAAAAAAGGGACCAAAAAGAAAAACAAATATTTTTTCATGAAAAGCTAATGACTGGCTTAAAACTGAATGGCTTAGTTACTTAAATTTAAAATTTTTTAAATTTAAAATTTTCTAGTTTTTTTTTTTCTTACTGTTTGGAATTGTATTATAAACCACCTGGAAATGCTCAAGTGCTTTTTTGCCTGCTTGTATACTGATCCTGGGAACATGGAAGAACTCTCAACTCCTTCTCCAGCACCACATCTGCCTTCGTGTACGCAGACCTCTGAATTGTAAGTGAGCCATCCCAATTAAATGTTTTTCCTTTATAAGAGGTGCCATGGAGCCGGGTATTGGTGGCACACACCTTTAATCTCAGCACTCTGAAGGTAGAGGCAGGCGGATCTCTGTGAGTTTCGAGGCCAGCCTGGTTTACAGAGCAAGTGTAGGCAAGTATAGGCTCCAAAGCTATGCAGAGAAACCCCATCTTGAAAAAACCAAAAAAGAAACAAACAAAAAAATACATTTGAATTTCATTAAATGCAACAGAAAAATTTTCAGAGTCTTAGGTGGAAAGTGGTTTTATAACTATTGTTATGTGCCCCTAATTTTATAATTCTTCCATTTCCATAGGCATTTTTGTTGTTGTTTTTTGTTTTTGTTTTTGTTTTTTTCAATTTGTCTGTCTATGTAGCACTGACTGGTCTGACATTCACTATGTAGACCAGGCTGGCCTTGAACTTGCAGAGATCCACTGAGATTAAAGGCGTGTACCACCTTGCCCAGCTTCTGTAGACATTTAAAAAGGAATGGGAAAGAACAGTATCTAGTTGCCCCAAGGCCTGACAGTGGTTAATCAGGCACTGGAAAACATTATTTGTCCTCAGGAATTTCTAATGACACATAGCAAAACTTGACTTTAAAGAATCCTACTAGCTGTTTCAAGCACTCAGAAGGGCTGTATGGCCTCAAGAAAATAGAAATAAGAAGCATCTTTAAGGCTTTCATAGTCCATGAAGCAATAGGAATGCCAAAACGAAGCTCAAGTACAGGTTTTAATTGTATGTTATTGAGAATGATATTAGTCAATATTTATGGTGCAATATGAGAGACCAATATTCTGTGTAGTGACTTATGGCATGTTACTCAAATCTCTGCAGTCATAACTTTCCCAGGAAAAGAATGTTTATGAAAATGTAGAGTCAGCAGACAGCTATTTATTTTCTTGTCTCTTTTACAGCCATGAGAAGGTCAGAAGGAATAAGATTGCTCTGAAATGTTTTAGTTAATGGCCACTTCACAATGTCCAGATCCAGCTACAACTATTTGTGTGTGTGTATTTTTAAATAAGAAAGTGTGGTGAAAGAGTCCACTCTAGAACCGGCTTGCAGGGTTTAGCTGATGGTTTAACTGAGGCTTGCTGCAAACACTCAGCAGGTTCTTTGAGCTTTTAAATTCAAATTGCTTCAATTTAAATTCTTGAGTTATCCATATGTAAAATAGAAGTGGTGATAGATAGTGCTTTCTTTCCTCGGGCTATTATGAAAATCAAATGTGTTAATGTATGCAGAGTACTTAGAAGAGAGACTCACACCTTAATACACTTTGAAAAATATCAACTTGAAAATAATAAGTACATACTAAGGCCCTTTATAATGTTCTGTGCACACTCTTGATGGAGAACAGCTTCTAAAGTGGGTCCCAGCGATCCTGGCTCTTCATGTTAATATCCTTAGGTAACTTCCAGCTCCCTTTAATGTGACTTGGGCCAAAAGACTTGATCATAATTAATGTCCCCTGAATGGGGTGATGAGATGCCATTTCCCAGGTTAGGTTATAAAAGGGGCATTTATGGAACTCTTTGGTCCTTTTTACTTTTTTCACTCTGACAAAACAAGTAAGTCATCACATTGTGAGCTGTCTTACCAGGAGAGGGGGGAGTGGGGGTGCATGTCAAAGAATTATGGGTATCTCTAAGCTAACAGCAATGAAAACCCCAAAACATTGCAAGCCAAAAGCTATCAGAGGACTGAATTCTGCCAAGAATCAAGTAAATGAAGCTGGATGAGGCTTCTCTTTGGTTCCCTCAGAGGATGGAAGCCCCTCGAACACCTCAGCTGGATATTCTCAGATCCTATATCAGAAAACCCTGCTAATGACACCTACATTCCTGATCAACAGAAACCATGACATAGAGTCTAAATCACAAGTTTTTAAATAATATTTATGCAGTAAGTAATATGTAACAAATGTATATTTTGGTATCATATATGGGTGCTTTGTGCTAAAAATATTGGAACTGATTTGGGTATGGGATTTTGAAAAGCTTTCTATTCAATTCCATTCTATTTATCTATTTATTTAGTATGAATACATACACACATGTATGTACACACACGTGGAGAAATCAGAGGATAACTTGCAGGATTAATTTTTCTCTTTCTACCATATGGTCCCTGATTATTGAAGGCGTGCCTTATGCCACTGAACCATCTCATTGATTCAAGACTGGAAATGATTTAAAGAACATGATAATGGGACCCCTAAGGACCAAGCAACCCTGAGTCTGCTGAGATCGCTGGACTACTCCTGCCCCCCTCTGAGCAGAGGTGAGCTGCTTTGGCACCTGCCTTGGGCCCAACTTCTGCCTGTCCACTCTGGGAACTCCTGTCCTGGGGTCTGCAGGAAGGTCGACTCGGCCCCTGAGGACCAAGCAACCCAGAGTCTACTGACATCTCTGTGCTAGTCCAGCTCCCACCCACCTGCACCCACCTTGAGACCCATCAGAGTATCGGACCTTCTTGCACCCACTGGAAGAGAACCTTGGACCCATACACACCAGGAAAGGAAAAGACACCACCTGCACCCACTGGAAGAAGAGATGGGAAGACGACAATATAAGAACACATCCAACAACAGAAAAAACAATATGACACCACCAGAGTCTAGGGAATCTACACCAGCAATACCTGAACATCCCAACACAGATGAAGCAGAAGACAGCAACCTTAAAAACAACTTCATGCAGATGATAGAGACACTAAAAGAGGAAATGAGAAAATCCTTCAGAGAAATGGAAGAAAAGACAAACCAAAAGATGCAAGATATTAAGGAAAGCCAAGAAAATACAATTAAACAACTGAAGGAAACAGCTCAAGACCTGAAAACTGAAACAGAGACAATAAAGAAAACACAAACTGAGAGAATGCTGAAAGTGGAAAAGCTGAGTAAACAATCAGGAACCACAAATGCAAGCATAACCAACAGAATACAAGAGATGGAAGACAGAATCTCAGA